TGAAAGAACCGAGGCGTTAAAACTAAAACGCCTCCTCCTGGGGATGGCCGATTTGTAGTCTTTAGATGAAATGCACCATATGAAGCGTTGAGCGAAGTAAAAACCGAAGATTACACACCGCCCCTGGTCGAGCAGGCGCGTTACAATTGGTGAAGCGGTTCCATAACATGTGGTTCTAGTGTCGGCCCTCGCGGAGGAATGTCTTAAAAATGATAATCCAAAACTCAATTAATCACTGAACAAGAGGTCTAGTAGACCTCTTGTTCACTTACAAATTTCTGTAACTGTAACTTTGTGGTAGAGATCCAAGAAAGAAAAGTAGAATGATGATCATTTTCCCCGATTTGTGGAGTTCCCAGGCAATCAAATTTAATTCAATCTTGCCGCTCGAAACATAATATTTACCAATCATAAATCAGTTTGTGAAATAGAGCTACTTGATTGGCTTATTCGAAAATGAACTGTGCCCATTTTCCGCGGCACACTTTAGCGTCGTTCCCTGTATTCGATTCTACTGGCGACTCCAATTACGAATCGACTTAAAAATATAATCTTATAGAACTTGTACGTAACTGAACAAACACAAACTCGACAGATACATAGTTTGCTTTTTCACACGGATTTTACAAGGAAAACGTAGTTTGGGTCGACGAAGCTGGCGACGACAGCACTTGTTGGAGTTCAATTCGTTCACAGCGGGGCTGGTCAAGCACAATCACATCCTCCGTGGGGCTAGTAGTACTCGTACTAGTAGTAATAGCAGGGGCAGTTGGGACCATCCCATTCAAACGTCGAGGGGGCTGCATTGCTACCCACCCTTGGCTTGCCTTGGGCGTCGTCATCACGGCAGATTTTGCCCCAGCTGAGGAAGGTTCCCCGAATCCAACGCGTGTAGTGTTCGACGATGGGATTTTTCCCAACGATGGCTCCATGTGGCTGGGCCGAGTGGACGTACTGCTTGCGGGAGAAAACAGCGCGACGTGGGGGCCACGTTTGACGAGGCCGGTGTCTGGATCGATATAGACGGGGTGCTGTGGGGAAAAATCCCAACCCGACTCATTGCCCCGGGTTTCAGGAGGGAGGACGGCTTGGTCGGTGGTCATGCGTTGGTTGGACGCTTCCCGACGGCGGCTTCGCACGACCAGAAACACTACCACGGACACGACCACACAGATACCAACGACCACGCCGAGCACAGCCTCGATGCTGCTGCTGCTGCTGTTGCTGATGGAGGAAGGTGAATCGACTTCGGTAGGTAGGGTGCCAGTGACAGGGTTTATTATGCTGGAAGTAGTCGATGATGGCTGAGAAGTGGAGTCATCGATCATAGCTGCCTCAGGAGGAAGTGACGGGGAGTCGGTTGGTGCGTTGGATGTGGATGCCTTGATGGGAAGAGCAGTGGAGGAGGACGGGCTGGGTGTAGATGCACCGAGATATGGCGATGAAGACGGGACCATCCCATGCGTCGTTCGTGGAGTAGATGTGGACGAGACTTGCCGTAGAGGCGAGGAAATTGGAGGTGACAACAACAGAGGTGAAGTAGGAACATGAGACGGTGATGGCGGTGGCGTCGCCGTCGTGGTGATGGGCGTAGATAGAGGAGCAATGGAAGAAGTGCTGGGAATGGGGACCAGAGAAGAAGAGGTCGGTGACGGCGAAGACTTAGGCTGAGGAGGCGGCGTGCGCTGAGGTGATGGCGTGGGCTGAGGTGGCGACGTGGGCTGAGGTGCCGACTTGGCCTGACGAGGCAACGTGGTGAGTGGAGGAGGTCGAGTGGTGTTGATAGGAAAGAAAGACGGCTGTACAGTAATGCCGGATTGGGCTATGACTTCGTCCACGAAATAGGCAGATTGAGCAGCCCATGTTCCCCACACAAGCAGCAGCTTCATGATGGGTCGACTTTGTCGGGAAATCCTACTGTAGTGGTGGCAAGGGTGGGATTTCATCGTAGAATACTGTACGGGACCTACGACATCTTAATGGTGACGACAACTATATGTATGATATCATGCTGTGATATGTGGTATAAAACTTAAAATTTGTATTCTGCTTGCTTGGTTATTGCATAATGTTACGCCTGATCCAGATCTTTTTGGGGTTATTAGTCTTACTCATACTTGCAATAAGTATGTTCGGTTCTCCTCCCTGCATTCTTACTGTACGATTCGAAATTGGGAATAATCAGCACCAAATCGGCATACAATCGATCGGCCAATCAAAGCCCAGAACGCGATCAAGAGGCCAATCAAATTCACTCTTCGACCAAGTCAACATCGAATTAATGTGTCACTGAAATTAGTGTGATATAGCAGATCTTTACATACAAACGTCAGTACGAAGAATCGATAGATTTGGCGAATCAGCACAAAAGTCCAAATTTGGGTAAATCGAGAAAGTCACCAAGTGGTGAAACTCGATATTCTGCTCCTTGAATCATTTTATCTTGGTTTGATTATATATATCCGTATTATTCAAAACAATGTGGTGTCCAATGTAGTGTTCTTATTGGCTTTCAGGTTTGGTCTCAACAACACAACACAATTAGAGCCTGTTCCAAGTAGTTTTCAAAAAGGGCATTGTCCAATCAAAACGCTCCCCAACTCATTATGAGCTCGGCTCGGGTATAAGTACTTACTTCGAAGTATGTAGCTTTGCGCGAACCACTGGGTTTGCTGGGCTGCATTACCAAAATGGCTATTTGACTGTGCTATTGACCAATCAGCATGCATCTTAGTCTAATGATTTATGTCCAATCAATCATGGTCATTGAATGGGTAGAAAATGGACGAAATATTTTGTCACCCCATTTTTCGTTTTTTTCTAACTCTAAGTAAATAAATTTTGGAATTAGTTGGGGAGCGTTTTGATTGCCCATTTTGAAAACTACTGTAGTACAACAGTAGTACTTGATCAGGTAGGTTTGGTCTCAACAACACAACACTAGCCAATAAGAACACTACATTGGACACCACATTGTTTTGAATAATACGGATATATATAATCAAACCAAGATATAAAGATTCAAGGAGCAGAATCTGGGGTTTGACAACTTGGTGACTTTCTCGATTTACTGTTATTAGTGAACAAGAGGTCTAATAGACCTCTTGTTCTTACAAATTTCTTGATCAGTGATTGCCAATAATACTGTACATCAATATATAAATAGAATTAAAATATGTAAATGTGATAGGATTGGCTAAAATCGAACTAACGTTGTAAATGACGAAGAGATTGAACAAATGATCAAAGACTGCGTCATTGAAGAATAAACCGATACAAAAACAATATGGCAACGCTATTCCACATTTACAACCTATATGACAATATCCTACACAACTGACAGTGAATATCTGCTGCGACTCTACACCAAATACCTACTCGGAGTAGCGCGTAGTGATAACTCACAATCACTTTTTTGAAGAAACCCATGGACTCCTTTGCTATCGTGTCGCGTCTCCAACAACAAGTCGGCGACGAAGTTCACGCATTAGACCTCTTGTTGGATGAGATGAGCCAAGTCTACCACGCTCACTCCTAACATGTCGAGGAGGCCGATGACTCCCCCACTGGTCTCAGTGAGATTCGAACCTGGGGAATAGCCATTGCAGAATGCACGTTTTGTGTCTTGAGGTACAGGTTTCTTTAGAACCGAACAAGAATGGAATTTCGCGGTGGTGTCATCACCAGGGAGAACGTTCGTCCCTATACTGTAGCTACATCAACTGATGCAAATACTAGCCCCAAAAGTACATCTTTCGGTGGGCCCTTGATGGTTCAAATGTTCCG